ACTTTGGATGTTCTTTACTGGGCTCACTCCTATCCTATCAGGCTTCCTACTTGCCATGTTCCAGGAGTGATGAATTTTAATTACAGATCATCTGTCTCGGCCCAACTGCATTTTCCTGACTGAAAGGATGCTACATCACTAGGTCTTATGGTGGATTTGCTCATGGTTTCATTCTCCAATGATCGACACATTCACCACTCGTTGGAACTACAAGCTTTTTGGTCCCTGGTACCTCATCCTCGGGTTTTACAAATAGATACATTCAGTCAGGACTGGACAGGTTTGAATCTATATGCTCCTTCCCTTGATTCATCTGTTGCCCAGAGTTCTCGCAATGGTTCGATCCTTTCCTTGTTGGGTGCTGTTTGTTGTCCCATATTAGCCATTGCAACAATGGTTTCCTCTTGTTCAGTATCTTCAAGAGGGTCCACCTCTACCTTATCCTTTTTGGTCATCTTTGTTGCGGCAACCTCGTTTTGACATTCTACATCCGGACATTCAGATGCTCAAACTTCATGCTTGAACGGTGTGCAGTTCTTTGCACGACATTGAAGTTTAACTTCTAAAGTTGCTTTGTAATTGGCTCAATCTCTCTTTTGACCCACAATGGCTGTTTATCAATGTTGCACACTTATCGCCAGTGTTGTCTCAACAGGACAATAAACCCACATCACCCAACTGTTTCCACCATATCCCATTTTTTGACCTGGTTTTTTAAAAATATCTTGCTTCATAAACAATCACCTTATATGAGGCAGCCTTGTCGACTACTTTTCAGTATTTGAAACAGTGGAAGGTTTTTGAGTCACCTGTTCTATCTGGCCTACTTACATTTTTTTTGCGTTTTTCATCCCAAACGGCCTTTTGTTTTTTTGCCTAAATGGGATATTAAGGTGGTATTGCATACCTTGTCTCATCATCACTTTGAGCTTTTAGCATCATGTTCTGTGTATCATTTTTCTCCTAAAGTGTATTTTTTGTTGTTGATGGCATGTGGATGTCATAGTTCTGACTTGTTTGCACTGCATGTGCACAGGACTTATTACCATTCTACTTATGCCCTGCTTCATCTGGATAAATCTTTCCTTCCTAAGATACTGGTAACCAGGAAAGGGGATAAATCCTTCTCACCAATTCACATGCAGGCTATTTCTCACTTTTATGATCGCTTGGATCCCAATTGTTTATAATGCTCTGTCAGAGCCCTCAGGTGTTGCATGGCTCACACTAGTTTCTTTTGGGTTGCTAGAAATTGACCTTTTATTCATTGGGATCCTTTGGTTTCCCACGATTTATCCCCTATTAGCTTGACGAGGTGGCTTTGCAAGTTGATCCATATTCCTTATTCTGGCCTATCTTTACAGGTGAGGAATATGCTGCAAGTCACATCTCATCAGATTCATCATATTTCTATGTTCTTAGCTACCTGTTTGAATTGCCCACTGGAGGATATCGTGCAGGCTGGTATGTGGACTTCTCCCATTATTTGTATGATTCTTCTCCTGAGGGTTTTTGCCTACCCCCAGTGGTTGGGTTGACCATATCTGCTAGATTATAAAAAGGGGTATTCTTTTTCCCTTCCTTTCCACTGGTTTTCTTTTCTAGGGTCCCTTATCTCTCTTTCACTGTATCTCACTCTATGGTGAGTGTTGCCCAGGCAGATATGCTTTTCTCATTACACTTCTGCACTAGCAACCACTATTTCACTATTATTACTCCTGGTTGCAACAGACTATGTAGAAATGAGGTGTTCCATAAGACCACCTAGGACAGACATTCCCAACCTGGGGTACATGTACCCCTAGGGGTACATTTGCACTTCTCAGGGGGTACTGAGAGTATAACCATGGTCTACATTTTACATGGTGTTTTAATCTACAGTCAGACAAAGAAAGCTAAGTGGCTCACATAAATATATGCTGAGTTCAATTTATCGATGTTATCCATACTATAAGATCCTTATGCAATCCACACATACAGATTTCATAATAAAATATATAAAACTAATATAATTTTATCAATTTTTTAATCTTAATTTTTAGGTGGTATATGGAAACCTGTCGGAATGCCCAAGGCCAAGGGGTACAGAGGAACGAAAACATTGGGAATCCCTGACTGAGTAGGTGGTATTACTATTATATGCTGGACTGCTACTCATGGACTATCATGAGTAAAGCTAATAGGGAATCCTGCTCATCCCTGCTGATCATCGGTTGAATAAATCGAGATCGGCCTGCTTTTAAAAACTTTGGGAACTTGGTTCACCTATTGCACTATTTCAAGAGCACTGTTCCTCAGGACTCCCCTACGTGCATTACCCATCCCCCTTCCACATTCTACTAGTGGAGCTAGTGAGTTCTTACCACACCCAGTTTCTAGTCACTAGGGTGGTGGACAGAGGTTTTCTTCCAAAGTGTTAGAGTTAATTCCTTCACTCTTGGAGAAGAGGATGAAGTTGGGGGGGGCCCTCTTATCCAAGTCATTGGATGTTTTTCCCAGTTATAGGTTGGAACTGCAGTCTATGTGGAAGCCTACTCATAATGTCTTTCACATTTGATGCTCTGCTATCTGGTTGAGGCATATCTGGCCCTTCTTTTTTGAGCAATTTATGTTCACTTTATTGTTCATGGAAGGAGGTCCACTATCTCCTCGTAATTCCAAATGCAGTGTGGTCCCATCGTGAGTCCCTGGTTGAGCACAGTTGTTCCATGTCCTTCCCATTATTCCAGTTGCAAGTTAAATGCTCCTTGCCCACTCAGTTGAGAAAGGTGGATGCGTGTTCATAATTCCAGACCAGATGAGTTCTGTTCCTTTAGTTGGGTACGGCATACACGACCCCATCATTCCAAGCCTGGGGTGTTGCCTTTTAAGCTTCTTTAGGTGGATAAAAATGTTTGTCCACTTTGGTGTCACTTACTTTCTCATTGTGATTCCAGTGGTTTGTAATGCATTACTCTATGGCTACAGGTTGGGATTCATTCCATAATCCTTTTATCTAATGTTGCGTGCCAATTGCCCTAGCCACCAACATGGGATATAGGTACCGTGATCTCTTAATTCCAACCCTGAGTAGTGGAAACTTGGCTATCTGGTTGAGGCTGGCCTATATTGACCACTCATATACATGACCATTCATGTATTATTATTCCACCCTTTCTTCTGGACTACTGGACCTAAGTCCTAGGTGACAAGCATACCTGTTCTGGATGTAGTGCAGTTCTCCCACTAGGTTACTGATCTTATTTTGTACACCCATAATTTATGCAGATGCTTTCCATATGGATCATGCCCTCACTGGCCCCTCTGTCTTATCAATGTGGGTTTCTAGCTGTCAGTGTCAGTGGAGGTAAGTGTGTCTTGGAAGTTAACATTTTCCTAAATTGAAAATGTATTTCCAATAATAATTACCTCTGCTGACACTCTCACACCCTTCCTAGTGTTAGTAACTGGGATGGTGTAAGTCTTGAAAAAGTGATTACAGTATCTGAGTGAAGTGCTTATATACAGTACCAGGATAGAAGGTGCATTGACGTAGATGGAGAATATCACGAGACAGATATTGCCCAGGGCATATAAGTGGGGTATAAAAGACTGGAGCAAGCGAGACCAATGCTTTGATGGGCAAAGTTGAAAACCTGAAGGTTGAGGAATAGCTGTCAGTGTCAGCAGAGGTAAGTATTATTGGAAATACACTTTCAATTTAAGAAAATGTCATCCTTTATTCTGCGACTTTGGAACAGTTTATGTACTTCAACATTTTCATTTCACTGTATTTGTCATCCTTTATACTGTGTGACTTAGGAACAGTTTATGTAAATCAACATTTTCACTGTATTTTTCATCCTTTATACTGTGTGACTTGGGAACAGTTTATGTAAATCAACATTTTCACTATATTGTTCATTCTTTATACTGTGTTGCTTGGGAACAGTTTATGTACATCAACATTTTCACTTCACTGTATTTGTCATCCTTTATACTGTGTGACTTAGGAACAGTTTATGTAAATCAACATTTTCACTGTATTGTTCATCCTTTATACTGTGTGACTTGAGAACAGTTTATGTACATCAAGATTTTCACTTCACTGTATTTGTCATCCTTTATACTGTGTGACTTGGGAACAATTTATGTAAATTAACATTTTCACTGTATTGTTCATCCTTTATACTGTGTGACTTGAGAACAACTTATGTACATCAGCATGTTCACTTCACTGTATTGGTCATCCTCTTTCTCTGTGTTTTGGGTGCAATTTATGTACATGAACTTATTTTAAGTTTAGCAGCTGATATATGGAATATATGTATGTATCAACATTTGCTTTAATAATCTTTGATGTTAGTCACTTGTAAGAAACAGCTTGTGATTTTTTTTTCACTTGATTTAACAAAAGCATTATCAAGATTCTACAAATCAAGAGATTTGTTTCTTCTACTTTTGACAAATAACTTTTACCTAGATAACAAAGTATCTAAGAAACCCCCACCCCCACCCAAGCTATATAGCACAAAGGGTGAAGGGGAGCTGAAACAGTATTATAGGATACATGCATGTTTGTAGAGGAACTACAATGAGGAGCATATGATTATTCATGAAAATTAGTCTTTGCCAGGCAAGATTGAAATTGTGGTGAACTATCCACAAATAGATGGATCTGGGAGTAATGGGCTTAGCAAACCTTGTACCTTGTCATGCAACCATCCAAGGTTGTATTACTACGGTAACTGTCAAAACTGATGTTGATTTTTTTTTTCTACTCTTATATATACAGTGTATATTTAATAAAAGTTTGTACTGGATAGTTGATTTCGTAAAGGTTTGTAAGAGGAGTGACCTAGAGGATTAGGCAATATCTCCATCTCCCCTCCATCTCAAGATCTCCAGTTTAACCACTCTCTGTAGTCTATCATACTTTCATATTAAACCAAAGACTCTTTCTTTATATATATTATAACCAAACACATACAAATTATATATTTGTTATTTTATTACTACAGACACTGTTAAACTTAACAGAGACATTGGGTGATGCAGTTGCCCGGGGGTTGTCCAGAACAGACATCAATCGGTTACCAACTCGAAACTTTACTCAGCTAGTTTCATCTGAAAATTGTGAGTCTGTAGCTAGCTGTGATGATGGTAGCAGAGCAAACAACAATACAGAAATGAGACAGAAAGAGTGCCAGGTGTGCCTTAGTTCCTATGAAGAAGGAGAAGTCTTGAGGATATTGCCATGTTTTCATGACTATCATGCAAGTTGTATTGATAAATGGCTTAAGGTGGGTATTCAGTTTTCACTTAAAATCTAGGTTTTGGAAATAAATCACTAAAACTTAAAAACTTACTCTCTTTGAAATCTTACTTAATTACATATGCAACTTACTGCAGCTGCATTTACTGGTTGTTCCTTTTGTTTCCCTTTAGCTTAGTCTTGGGCACTAATTTAACTACAAGGGAGGCAGATGCTCATTACTTCTGGAAGCACAATTGAAAGAATAAAATAGTTAGGGGAATTTATTATATATTATTATTTTTAGTTTACACTATTTGTCATTCATTATTCACATTCAGTAAATTATAAAATTGGATAGTTAAAAAATAAGTTTTCAGTTATTTTAACAAATATAGCAAATGCTTTTTTGTCATTCTTCACCTATTTAAGCAGCAATTTTTGCACATGCTCATGATGAATTTGCTTTTTTGAGTTTTTTAGTGATTTGCCCCTCCTCTGTCAACTTTCAAATTCTGGTTATGAATACCAAAGTAAAAGATTCATAAGATAGTGAAAGCAAATTAATTAGTTACTTAATTTTTTTAGATTAAGATAAAAAATCTATTTCTTTTGTTCAAATTTCAAAATATAATTGTATGTTTAGAAATAAAATTACTTAGGTAAAATAAAACGTAAAGCCTACTAATTAGTTTAATATTGACTGGTATATATAGTTACATTGGCAAAGGTCACTTTTCTTAGAGATAACCAACTTGTCTGAGCAAATAGAACTGTTTTGAGTCTTACATGTTTATTAAAAGTATGTATTTCTTTTCTGAGTAGCATATGTGAAGCTTTGGCACTATCTAATTCCCTACAATAAACAATCAGGTTAAAACTGACCCATAAATAAATTGGTTAGTTTGAAGTGTGTTGGTATTTTATATATTTACACACATGCACACGAGATTGAGTACATTATATGAAAATGATTTTGAGCATCACTGTGTCATTACAGTTTATCTCACCAAATCTAGTTCTACTCATCCTGATGATCATGCATCTTGATAATTTCTCTGTATTGTAGTTCCATTACAGAAGCTTTGTTGTGATGCTGTCATGCTCAAAGCACACTGCTCAATCCTGCATGCTTTCCATAATTTATTTAGTGTACAAGGATAATGGCTTCTCAGCACCTGTTTCAACAGTCCTACCACACAAAAATCCATAGGTGCTGTGGCTGGAGTTCAGCAAATTGGCTAGTATGGAATGGTATGAATGCGTTTTTTCATTCTCTAGCTGCTTAAGGTATGTGACTGTTGAGTGGAAGCCTTATCTTAACGAACTCGTACCCTGCCGGCCTTATTTTTAGATGGAGGCTACTATGGATGAATTTTCCACTAACCTATTTGTTTGTGGATTATCACATGTTACAAGTTGTCAGACTTTGCTGACAATGGATGGGGTTAAGCTTGTTACAGGTCTCTATGTGGATGGTCCTGGTGTTCCATGTTTCTTTGTTTTCCAATGCCATTAAGTACAAGGAATATCCACATTGCGGAAAATCTAAATCCCAACTTGAACATGTTTATGTAGGGAAAGAAGTTAATTATTTTACAAGAAGTTGCTACTACCTAAAAATTTGATAGCAAAATTATCATATTCACTATCTGTTTAAATGTATGAAAACATCTGTATAGTAAAGCAAAAGCTGTAACTGAGCATCATGACCACATTAAACTTCTTTCTGTGATAACTATGTTCCTAGAATTTTGCAGGTATAGTTTCCTTATGTCAGCAAACAAGCGTACGTATGGTAAACAGTTTCATTTCTATATAATGTCTCAGGTGTTCAACTTTACCTCTGTTTACGAGGTGTAGATCAAACTCACTTCTTGTTGGTTGCGTGGGTCTTTTTGATATAATGCTCTTTATAAAACTTTCGAAATTGAGGAGCTCGCTGATGAACATTGTTCGATCCAAGTTTCTTCGTTTGTTCGTTTGAGGTTAAGCACAAAGCCGCACAATGAGCTATCTGTGTTTTGCCCATGGTGGATATTGAAACCCGATTTTTAGCGTTATAAGCACTCTGATCCACTGGGGGCTAAAGGATAATAAATGGATAATTCATGTTACCAAATACTAGGCTGTACTTTCCTGAAATCAATTTGTGATTAACAGATTATGAATTTGGTACAGAAGTTTTACTTATACTACAGATTATGATTAGGTCTATGGTATATAATTTTCTTTGTCAAATGGAAACCAATATTTTATCACTCTAATCTGATTCTATTCTTTATGTTTAGAGTTATTCAAATGCAACTTACTGCTCCAGTCTCCTTGAACCCTGACTGTCTTACAATTTCATTTGAACTATTTAAAAAGAAAAAACATTTTAACACAGTACCTTTACATTTAAAAGATTTGTGCAACTTCCTGTTATACTAACCTATACACATCCTTAAAGCCCTGCAAATTAACCAATTACAGTGCTTGAAATTCATTTAACTAAACTAGAAAATGCTGTAACATTCATATATTAAACCTTTATCCTGCCTTTCCACACATTTCTTCTAACCATTATTTATAACTTTGTTTAATGTGGCAACAATTTTTAAGGCAATATACTGGTGCAGTTTTTACAGTAAGAAGTATAAGGGAAATTAGCCAGGTTAAAAAAACAAATGGTTTCCTTCTATGAAATATTCTGTCCAGTTATATTATGCCTGTATTTAAAATTGCAATACACTATCTTTAGCATTTTTCCTGAAATTGCATTTCACATGTTAAAAAATATTACAGTATGCAGTTAACATAATAGGATTTGTTACAAAACACATTTTCTCAAGATTACAAATATTACTTCTTCTGTTTAACACTTGGGTCATGATATAGCTTGCTAAAGTAATTGCTCTGGTATATTTTTTACCCTTAATTATAATTGTAATAAAGTAAAATCTAGATACCTAGTAAATGTAAATTGATTTTCAGCATTGACCTAGAGTGGAAATCAGGATATATTAAAAATTGTAAAATTTTATAATGTTACCTTTGATCTATACAATAAACTACATACCTTGAAAGTTTATCCACATTACCAATGCATCATAGATTTGAGCATCCCAGGTTTATCCACATGGCATTACTAAACTACAAATTGTTGGCCACTAATCAGTAAACTCTATTAGCAATAACTGCTCACTATTTCAAAAAATATTAAAACTTAAAAATTAATACATGCATTCACACATGCTGTATTTAAGGTATTAGTAAAATAGTACTGCATCAAATATCTAGTTTCAGGTAGCAAAATGCTACTAGATGTATGTTAGCTTTGAACATTAATTTATCATCTGAGTTGTAAAGATTAACAGTTTTATAAATACAAATTAAGTAATGAAGAACAAACACAAATTAAAAAATATGAAGATTATTAACCCGACCAGTTTCGACATACAACGTATAACCTTGAAAATGAACACAAACTTACAAAATATGAAGATGATTACCTGACTAGTTTTGACACACCACGTACTTCATTTTCAAGGTTATACGTTGTATGTCGAAACTGGTCGGGTTAATAATCTTCATATTTTTTAATTTGTGTTTGTTCTTCAATACTTAATGTGTGTTTATAAAGCTGTTAATCTTTACAACATTTGTAAATAGCACTACAACTTAACTTGCTTATCATCTGAGTGTATGAATACTTTGCCTCAGAAAGGGCTGTTACATATCCTTCTCTAAAATGATCAGTTTTCAATGACATCACACTCTATATGCAATGTCAAAATGTAGCTCTGGTCCATGCCATTTCACCACGACTTTATATCAGTTGTGGTTGTCACGTTACTTTAACTTGCATATTCAAAATGGTTTTAATATAATGTACTCAATCCTCTATTAGGAAGTCTCATAAATGTAATTAACCCACATGGAGTAAGAAAATAGTCTAAAGACAAGCTCTGTGGAAAGGTTAATGAGTAATTACTTGATAATTAAAAAGAATCTCGGTATTTGGTTCTTATAGATAGTTAAGTGTGTTTACTCTTTATAGATAATGGGAGAGTTATTTCTGTTTCATCAATATCATAATAACTTTTAAGAAGATTGCTTTATTTCTATGTGCTAGTTGTACTAAACATTATGATGTATTGTGAAGTGTGAAGCCTTTAGACCTGTTCTCTTTTTTCAGAATAATCGAAGTTGTCCAACATGCAGAGTTGAAGTGTCATTTGATGAATAGCATGAGTAGAAATGGTATAAATCCAACATAGCATTTTTTGTAAATGCAAGATTACCATAACCATGGCTTGAAGTAAAGGTGTTCATAAATAGTTCAAATTTTCTGAGTTTACAAGATACTGTAGGCTTGGTCTAACTACTCACATAATTGGGACAAATAGATGTTGAACAGTATTTTCAAGATCCATCTTTTTTCAGAATTTCAATCTCAGTTTGATTTATTCAACAGAATACATTTTTTTGTGGAATCATCTTCATACAAAATAAGTGCTGCCGGTGTGAACAATGCTATTACTGAAGATAGACTGTATATATTTGTATTGTGTGGTTCGCATTTAATGCACCATCTAAGCACCTTGTGCTTTAGAATATCTGTTTGTGAAATAGTAATTTGTTCTTCAGTTTTTTTAATGAGTGTTTCTCATTTGTACTTCCATTTTCAAAGTTACTATAAACCAAGTCCTTCAGAAACTCAAAGGATATAACAAAAGATACCTAGATATAAAATCTTGTATCAAATTTCACAACAACAACAACCAGTGACATTGTGTTCAACAATATCCTTAAGTAGAGGATGTTGACCAAATATTTAGGACCTAGTGCTTCTCTGACACAGTATTAAACTCAGCACAGCCCTGTCAAAATGAGAACTGATGCCATCTCCGAGATTATTGTAACTGTGAGATAAGGGAAGTGCTTTTTTCGTTAAACCTAAAGGCTTAAAAGTGTTTTTAGAAATTATGATAATTTTAAGACTAATATGTGTCAATAGTCTTGGATTATCGTAAGATGATATTATCAGGTAAGGTATAAATTCTTTGTTGTTTTTAACAGCCTAATTTCATGTGTTACCTCAGTTAAGTAGATTTTAAAAGAATAATTGTAACAGAATAATAATTAAATGTAATTTTAAATGAACAGAAACAAACTGTAAGTGAGGTGTGTTACAGTCTTCATCACCAAAACTATTACATCTTTGCAAGAAATCTGATTAGGAAGTTTTAACATGCTTTTAAGTTAGAAAAGAAAGATATTTTTGTATTTCTACACTGTGATCCATGGTTTTATAAATTTTGAGTTCAGTTCAGATTTTCTACGGTCACTTGAATGAATAATAAAGTAATATTATTGTCAGTTTACTGGAACTGATACATATCCATCTTAGTTTTTCTTATGAGAACTTAAACTAGTTTTAATATACTTTCAGTTACTATTATTCAGTTCATTTTTCTATTAAGATATGCACTGATACATTCTTGAGCTGTAAGATTTAATTATTTTAGTACTGTGTTATATTGGTGGTAAATATATATGCTACAGTCTTTTCTAAGTTCTTGGCTAATCATATTGTACAGACTAATACAAATTTAATGCAATAGCTAGTTTTTACATCCATTTTAAATAGGAGCTAAAAATGATCTTGTGAGTAAGATGAAACAACATATAATAATAATATGAAATGTCCTGGAAAGCTAGTTATTTATTGAGATAGCTTCTGAGGTTAAGGCACTTAGGTTTTTATCTGTAATTTAGAAGAAGTTTTGTATTGAAAATTTATTTTTTCTGTGTGTTAGAAAATAATAATAATGGTATTTTAAAAAACACTCAAAAATTATTGTGTTCAAAAATGCAAAAATTTTTTTTTATTACTTTCCATTTGATTATCAGTGATTATTTCAGTAAGCATATCTGAAAATGTTAAAAAAAAAAGTCATTGTAGAAACAATACTGAAAAAAGCTCTCTGGGTGATTTTTGTTTTATAAAACATGATTATTCAGGTTATATGGAGGATGTTATTGTAACCCTCTCGCTAGTGTTCTATTAAGAAAGATACTAAAATGTTATGGCTAGCTCATTAAATATACTGCCATAGTACCTAACTATTATGTTACTTCTTGTAAAGAAATAAATAGTTTGAAATAACACTTGTATTACATAGTAAGTTTATCAGCATAGTACTTACTCATCTATAGACGCATTCAATAATGCAAATGAATCAAATGTCAATTAAGTATTTAATTCTTGCTAAATATTTGGGGAATTTTACTTGGTAGTTTCAGACTGAAATTAAAACGGTACTTTTAATTGTGTATATAATTTCAAACTACCTGATTTACTTGCAGAAAAACTCCTTGTAGTGAAGCAGAGTTAAAGTAAAAATTAAAATAACTCTTCTTTTTGTCTAGATCTTTTGGGAAATTTATTTCTTATTCACCCACATAAAAATTCCTCATGATGAAGAAGACTTGAAATAAAATGTTAATTGACCACTTAATTTCTGTCTATATCTTTGGAGAATGTTATTTATTTCCCACATTATTTTACCATTTAAGATAATTGTGACAATGATGAAGAGTTAGAATAAAAGTTAGGTTATCTCTTCAAATTATTTCCAGAAATTTTGCAAGATTTTAACTTAATTCCTAAGGAATTTGTGATAAAAGCACTAGTGACAAACAAGGATTGTTACAGATGATGAAAAAGATGAAATGCAAGTTTTAATTTTTTATTGATACTGTATTCAGATTTTCTTTATTATAAAACTTATATCTGAATTTTATTGATTGACTTCCTCAGTTTATAGTTTGCAGTTATCTCACGTATAAAATTGTACTGTCAAGAATTTTATCTTTTTATAGCATTTACTTTTTGGGCAACACTATATCATTGTATTTTATTCTTTCATTATTTCCTAAAATAGTTTAATTTTATATTAAATACAGTCTGTAATTATACTCAAAATTATTCCATAAACTAAACATTCCTTTTTTCTTTTTTTTAAAGTAAGTATTAATCATGTTTTCCATAACTTGGATTATGAAACATATTCATGTTACTACATTTCTGGGTTAGAAACTAAAAGTTATAACTTAAACATATACAATAGTACCCATTTATTTATTATCAAAGTACATAGTTTGAATGTAATTATCTGAACTTGAAAGAGTGTCACAAAATGTTGATGATTAGATTCTATTTAAGGGAACACAGAATATAAAATCTACATAAAAACACACACATATTAACAGCCTATGACTAAATGGGTAACTAAATGTTTTTACTCCATACCTCAAATATTCATGAACGTTTTCTGAACATTATGTAGACGTTTTTTGAATGTTATGTAGGTATTGGTAAGATTTCAAAATGTTTTTAAGTCTCTTAACTATACAGAACTGAGCATAGCCCACTGGATTGGTTTGTACACTGCTATAAAAAAAAATCATATTCTGTGCTATATGGTTATGGGTGTGATATAAGAGTGAAGGTCAAATCCCATAGTTTGGTTGTAGTTGGTCCAAAGTTGGTGGTGGGTGGTATTTACTAGCTGCTCTTTTCTGTCACTTCAAAATGCATGGGTAGTGCAGATAAACTTTAATTAGCTTTGTGCAAAATTCAGAAAACAAACTTACCTACCCAAATATAGGTTTCCAATAAGAGGAGTGAAATCTTAGCATATCATTAGTTACAAGCCACTGCCAGTGAGGTCTTTTTTTTTTTGCTCAGTACCGTAGCTCAACAGGCCAGCTGAATTACAGTCTCAGTTTAAGCACTGTAGTCAGTCATTTATGAAATATTACTATGTATTGGGCACAATTAGTCGTAACAGTTTGTACTTACATATAAGAACCTCCAATACTCTTTGAATACCATTTGTATTAGTTTATAAACCATTTTGATAACTTGTGTTTGTACCACTATATAACAGACAGTAATTTTATTGTGTATATATACTCTATTCCATCTTGTATAATATATGTTTCAAACAATATTGTGTCCTTGTAATAATCAACATCTCTCTCTCTCTCTCTCTTATTTATATATATATAAAGTTGTGTTTTGTAAATCATATGCTGAAACACTGGGTCTATCAACTTCAACTGATATATTGTTTTTTATTTTTATGTGGTATTTTTATTTGTGTACGTGTGAAATTATATGTTGATAATTTTGAAAGTATTTGGGAAATTTATCCAAATCTACCACCTTTGCTATTTGTTGTATAATTATTGGTAAAACTTTTTATTTTAAATCTTCAGTGCATTACCATTCATTGATTAAACTAATGGGGGACTAATTATATAATGAGATTCATTGTTTGATTATCAATGCATTTTTTCATTACCATCCCTCACCCAATGGTTAAACCAGGAATAATTATAATACATAATATTGTCTTAAAAGTACAAGCTTGTAGAGATCTTAACCTACTAAAAATAAATAGCTGTTAAGTGTATGGAAATTGATCTTTCTAGGCAGAATTTTTACATTAAAAGTTTTTACAGATCCTTAATTGCATTTTATAAAAAGATAATTTTGTATACAAATGTGGTGTGTCACTGCAGATGGTAATTATGGAGACATGTTTAGTTTGGTTCATAGTAAATTCCTAACTTTTCATCAGTGAACTTGGTAGACTTATGGCTGAGGAGAGACATCACAGCTCTTTGTGAGAAAGGATTGTTCCATAGTGAGATTTCTGAAGAAGGTAGCCTTTAGTGTTCTTCATGAAAGAGTAAGAACCAACACAGGAGAGAAAGTAAGACAATCATCAGCACCAAAGTCACACCTGAAACCAATCTGGAGCTTTCCCCTCATCCATAAAATGATGGAGGATCATCTCACTCTTTCGTTAAAGACACATTCTGTAAAATATACAAGATTTCAGTATGACAACTGAACATATGATATATGTTGTTTGAATACAATAATTTTTCTATGAAATATACAAGACGCCCACACTTTGCACTGGGAGAAACTTGCATTAATTGAACTTTTCTTTCATTGTTTTCAAAAGTTTGTGTTTATCATATTGGATGATGCTCATGCTCGATTTCAACATTGTCCATTCAAATTATTTTAAGCCTAACTGTTAATAAGATTATTGCGTCTTGAAGCAGTTTTTGGTTGATGGAAATAATATATGCAATATTACACTACTACTGTAGCTTTGAAGACTTTGTAGACACTCTCCTCTCTACTAATATAATGTTGTCGTTTTTTGTTTTTATACAAGTGTAACACTAAACTCTTTTAGACATTTTTTAGCTAAAATCTTGCTTGCAATAATAGATACTTAACAGTTGCATTACACAATTTGAAACGTCATATCTTTCAGACAAAAGATAGCTTTATCATGTACAGGCATTGTTGAACATTTCACTTAAGCAGTTGAATGAGATGGTTCACATACTCAAATAAAACCAATGGATGATACATTGTAAGTGAAGACGACATTCCCTCAGTACCCGAGGGCTCTCAATGTAGCACTGAAAAGTATGTGTTAAAAGATTCTGTTAAACTTGCCATACCAAAGGCTACAGTGTTTGAGATTCTAAAACAACACTTCTAAAATTCAAACTATTGTACAGCAGCTCGAAGAGGGATACAAAGCTAGAGTGATAATGATTACTATATTTCTTAACTGAACAGATCCATGACAGCATATTCCACATTTATTTTGCCATGTACGTACAATGAGGCAACCTTTTACATATATGGAACTATCAACACCCAAACATGACTCTTTATTCCAAAAAAACTTTGGAGTCTTGTATATGGAGGACTTTCTTTGACATAGTTGAAAGCACGTGTTTCTTTCATCAAAACGGCAACGCCACCCATTTTGCACTTTGTGAAGCACTGGACAATGCTTTATTTTGCCGATTAGATCGTTGATCTTATGTGATAATTAACAGAAATAGTAGGACAACTTGTGATTAAAATTGATGACATTATTATTTATACGTGCTGCTGGTTAAATATTTTAACTAATGTAAGTTACTCCGTTGTTATATTTTATAAAATTCGAAAATACCTCGGTATAAACTGACTAAGCAAAGTCAGGGTTATTTTATTAATTATTTTTCAATATCAAGAGCATGAACTAGATTAACCTAGAACTAATCGCTGATCACTTGCTTTTTCCGTATAATCTCCAAATTCCCTTTAAAGCTCGTTGGAGAGCTATTTTATTTGTGCAGTTCAATCTCTACAAATTAAAGTAAAAACTGCATAGCCATGTAGTTTTGAAGTCATACTTTGCAAAATATCCAGGAACTTTAGCATGGATACTTCTAAACTATGTGGTATAAATATGCGGCCTACGTTCAAAGCTGTTTTCTCTATCACACTTTTGACTGTATGTAATTCTGTAGGAGCGATGAAAATGGCTCTCAAGGGCGCTATTATAGCCGGATCTGTCCCCTTATACGTGTGATATTTTTAGCAACCTTGTAAACCTATCTTCATTTTTTTTTTCTACATCACAAATGATTAGCAGACACATGCTGTATATGTATGGAAACAGCTGCTTCAGAGTATTCGAGATAAATATACATTCATCTTTATGAGCTCTTAACGCAACAGCACTGTAATTTTTTTTTGTTTTACGATGCAGTAACATTACTGAAGGTTAATGATTTTGATCAACGTCACAAAAAATAAGAGTACGACATTATTCGTATTCTTTACATCCTCTTCTCAAATGATTTGATATCAAGATGGTGTAGTTTAGCTAATAAAGTGGAGGGCAAATTCTAAGCTACAGTTTTATTCCTATAGGTGTGAATTACAATGTGCCATTACAAGTAGTTTGGGGCCTGATGTGGTCAAATAGCTGAAGTACTTAAACTGTAAATCCGATAATTCACAGTTTGTGCTTTATTGCTGCAAAAATTAACCCTGAACTTTCGGGTCATGAGCCGAGTTATAAGAGTGAGGGTCAAATCCCATTATTCAATTAAACAAGAGTTGACGGAGGGTATTGTTGGCTAGCTTTCTTTTAGCGTGCCACTTCAAAAGTAAAGATGGATATACACGGTTAGCCCTTGTTCAGCTTTTCACAAAATTCTTCAACAAAATAGTTCGAATAATAACACTCAATGGAATGTCATTAATGATAAGGAAAGAGTTGAACTGTGTTATAAAAAACACATTGTTCAATTCCATTAATGTGTATTAATGTGCGAGAATTCAGGGCTACTTTATTCTGAAGAAAAGATTGCAGTAACATCATCATCAGCCGAAAATGCTCTCTGAATATAAAACTATATATTCAGACTATATTGGATTCAGGTCCACATATATCTGTAGGTAGGCGTTAAAATCCACAATAAATAGCACATTCAAGAAATGTTTTGCGAAGAACAAATCGAACAACTGAAGAACACGTATTTGGTATTATCAACCTGATATGGGCTAATTGGTCAGGTCTAATACACCAAGGTGAATAACAAAAATCTGTATTCACACAAACAAAGAAGGCATCAAGGTCTTATTATAGTTGCCACCTTCCCAGTTATTACTAACAAAATGTACCAGATTTCTTGATTAGACAGAGACTAGATTTATTATATCTTAACGGTGGGATTATGTCTGTAAAATTTAAGTCAGACCAAAGTCGTTATGTGGTATAACACAATCTTAGATTGCCAAGATCAGTGGTAGTTCCATTATGTATATTTAAGGGGAGATTAACCCTCAACTTCATATAAAATTGTACAAATCTCGGTACCACCCCTGTACTTGGATATGATCCCACACCCAAAGGAGCAATGATACGAATACGACTAAACAAGAATGAGATTTATGAAATGGTCATGTGGTGTTTAACTCTAGCCCAAGGCGAGAAGCAATGCAAGTTTACGACTATTTGCTTCTATTCACAAGGTTGTCAACGAATTATAGAACTACTGTGCAAAATATATTTAAAAACATCCCTTAATATATCCAAATAATGATATATTACTTTGTAATTTCATGAAAGGTGAGACATACCAGTTTTATAAATGCTACACAAGCTATTTGAAAATATATAAATATCACCAACAGAGGTAACCTAGAATTAAATATGATTTATCTTGAATGTGAACCATTTAGACCACTCAGATGTTTTTGTACACTTGTTACGTATTAGAATTTCAAATAGCCTGAAATTGAGTTAAATGATACTTTAAACTTAGTAGTTAATAAAGCCGCTATATAGTCAGTTTATGATATTTGCCAACAAGATTGATACACACAGTTT